GTACAAAATCTATTTTTTTAAACAGGGTGACAAGGGTGTAATTTAAAACTATTGTCCTATTTCACTTCTAGCCTATTTTTCAAAAAATTTAGAGAATCATATTTATAATATTTTATATGTAGCTTTTTTGCCTTATATTTCAGAAAGTCAACATGGTTTGATTGAGGCAACATCTACCTTAACCAATCTTTTCACTTTTGCACAGTTTATTTCTTCATTATTACTTGGTAGAGCTTCATCAGATTGATGTAATCTATACAGACTTGTCCAAGGCGTTTGGTACTCTAAAATGTCAGCATTTACTTACCATTCCATCAAATTATTACAATTTAATTGAATCTTATTTTAAACCAAGTATTTATTATGTTGAATAAGCTGGGCACTGGTCCTACTCTTCCTCTCCTGGTTCTGGAATACCCAAGAATCTAAATTGGGCCCCCTAATCTTTGCTTTTTCCGTTAATGATGTTGCAAATGAACTTATTTGTCATGTGTTAATCTATGCAGATGACATTAAGCTTTGTTTGTCTATCAAACCAATACTGTGATAATTTGCAGTGTAACCTTTATATTTTTGTCTCGTGGTTCATGCGTAATAAAATATGATGGGATGATGATAAATGTTGGGAAATGTCATTTTGTACGTCATCATTTGTTAATTATATTTACTATATTTTTGGTACAGTTCTTGCAAGAGTTAGCTGTATAAATGATCTTGGTGTTATCTTAGGGTGATGTTGATCACCATCGTCTCCTATATTATTTCAGTAGTATACATACCTTTTGCGACTTTTACACCCAACCGGTCTCTAAAGAAAAAGAATTTCACCAAGACATGATGAATTGCACTTGAACTTTAAAAATATGAAAGATCCTTTTAAAAAATGCATCTGAATTAATCATGTCAAATGCATCCTGCTGCACTCAATCAGGAATATCATTAAATTACTCGTAAATGATTCATTCTAGAGCATTAAAATTTTGAGGCCAAAGCCTCAAAGAATCGTTTCACACACCATTATCTACAATATCAGATATATTTAGACATTCTATTAATTTTTTGCTTGTTCTGCACTTATCGATGCTACCATTGCCCCCTAGATTTCAACCCTTGATGATGGTGGCTAACATTGTGGTGACACAGCCAGACAGCTGAAATTCCTCTATCTTATCCTATTTTTGCTTTCTGTGTACACTGTATTTGCGCAGACTGGTGAGGTTTATTTGTATAATTATTAATTCAAAATTTCCCATCTCAACAAGATCTAGAAGTAGTACTATTAATTGTTGCTCAATTCCGATGATTGTTTCTTATGCATGTAATGAAAACATTCATTTAATGTTTTGTCAAGGTCTATTAGTACTGTGTATCTAATTAAGGAGGGATATAGGTGTACAGTGAAGAGTAAAGATGTGTCTTGTTAGATTGAATTCATGTTGTACCTGTATCGTTTTTGTTATCAGCAGTGTGTAGATGAAACAATCAAGTCAGCATGTTAATGACGTAGCTTGCTCAAGAGTAAAAAGCTTTTTTAATATTTTTGTGCCTATCACGAAAAGTTGTCACAGACTATTGAATAATTACTTCAAATATTCTTAAGGGAGTGTTGTGAATGATTCCAAGAAATCCTTGATAATACTGAATAATTCTTTAGTGAAAATTTCTTTTCCTCGCCAATTACACTCTTTTTTATCAGTATTTGATATTGTGTTCATACAATAGAAGTTACCTTTATACATTTTTTAACAAATAAATGTGTTTCGTTAACAAGTTTTCCTCTTAGAATGGAAATACAGTAAAACACCTTTTTTACACTTTTCAGGGGACCGATTCAAAAAAGTGTAAAATGCAGGAAAGTTTAAAATATAGGAAAATTGAAAAACAATAGGTTAGGCAAGTACTTTCATTATTTACTGCAACAGTAGCTCTGTTTTCACTTTCTCGTCTTTCGTAAAAAGAGAAAGTAAAAGCGTGCACTAGAATCAGTGATTTTCGTCAGAAAATCTCCTATTGATAGGCCCTGGTAATGAAAAAGTTGATAAATCATATTCCAATATATAGGAAATTACTTCCTCCAACACGTGGTGTAGACTGAATCCCTGCTTTATGGGTCCTTGACACTGGAAATCAATTGATAGCAAAACGTCTGGTCAATGTGAGCGCCTGCCTATTTTCTCCGAAATTGATATTCCTCAATTTGTCTGAACAAAATCGAAGCTTTTGCGACTTTGTTACATACATATGTAGTAACTTACTAGATATTGAAACAGGATTTATCCACTGTACCAGTTTTTCTGTCAAAAAATTGCTATTTTTGCCGCAGCATTACGTAACTTTTTCTACACTAGGTATAATATGCAAGTATACGAGAAAGTATAAAAAATAAATTTTAAAAAAGACCTAAGAGAAGGGAAGCACTCTTTATATCTAGTTGTAAATTGCAGGAAGATAATGCATTGTAAATACAGGCTTTACGACGGGAGCAACGAAAAATTATGTAAAAGGCAGAAAAATGTAAAATACGAGAACAAAAAAAAACAGGGTTTTAACGTAGGAAGATAGGGAAGAGTGTGGGGTTGAACATGCACGAGTTTTCACATGGGTATGTAGAAGGAGTAGTGAAAAACTTGTGCTATGGCACAACACAAAAGAACAAACTTCTTAAATTAATTCAAGTAAAATGGCTTGAAACAAATAAAGACCAAAAATAAAAATGTGCTAGCCTAGAATACTTCATGAATTAATTTTAAAAAGCAACCAAATTTAAAATTATAGAAAGAGTAGTGTAAGTGATTTGACAACTGCCAACGATTACAATCTAGCCACACAATTTAAATGTTGAGTGTATCTGGAAGTCTGTACTTGAATGCCCAGCTGAAAACTCATATTGTAAATAATGCACAGCTTAATATTAAAGTTATGGTGCCGACTTGCTAAGATATTCAAAATGCAAACATCATTTGAGCAGCATTCCCATATATCGAATTGAAGTCTACGCATATTGAATTGTTTCTAATGGTAACAAACAGTTATTTATTACTTAAAGGTGAAAATTATTATTTTTTGGCTCGGAATTGCTTTTCTTGAGTTACATAAGAAGGCTAAAAATAATCCAATATTTTCTGTATACAAATAATTTTTTTCAATTTTCGGATTCCAGCAAGCTGGGGCCCTGCCCCTCTATAAGACCCCCTCTTTTTCTCATAATGAAACCAGGAAAGTTAAATGATATTGCAAAGAGTAGGGTTGTACTTGCCCCATCCTGTATTTTCACATGGAAATACTTTACTTGGCTTTCTCAATAGTTAAAAGCTTTTCTAATGTTTTTGTGACTATCAAGGAAAGTGAAAAGCTAACTGTCAAGGAAAGGAAGATTGAATAATTACTTCAGATGTTTTTAAGGAAGTGTGAATTGTTTGAAGAACATATTTGTATAATACTGAATAAACCTTTATTGAAACTTTGTTTCCAACTTCTATTGCATTGTTTTAATTTTTGTTTGATATTCTGTAAATATGAAGTTACATTTATACATTTTTAAACAAATGAACACGTTTCATTAACAACTTTCCTTCCTAATGTAAAGGGTGGGGATTAAATGTGAGAGTTCTTGGTGGGTATGTTAGTCTAACTTATCTCATAGTGAAAGTGTTATTAATTATGCAAACAAATCACTTAGATACCTAATGAGGGCAAGTGGGACATTTGAGAATATTCAAACCTTGCATGTGGTATATATCGCATTTGTATGTTCCAGGCATGAATATGCTTCTGCGTTGTGGTCACCATATCAAATTGGATTCATAAAGGATTTTGAAAGATGTCAGTGAAGATTTACAAAATATTTAGAGTTCAAGTCTGGTGGTGACTATCTCCCATGTGGAATAGATAATCAATTTCTTTACACCAAGTTTAATCTAGATTCGCTCAGAAGACAAATATCACAAATTATATTTTTGATCAAAATTGTTAGAGGTGTAATTTATGCCCCTTATTTATTATCTCAAATTCCATTTTCTATTTCATATTTGAATGCTTGCTCTTCTCATTTTTTTATTATCATCTTGTAACTAGTGACAGACTTTGTCTCAGGGTGATACTGTTTAACATTGTGGAACTCGCAAATGATGATATTAGCATCTCTAACATAACTGATTTGACTTTGTTTCTTTTCTTGGTGTGAATATTATGGATTATTTGAACTTTCAGGGTAAATTAATAAGCATGTACAGCCAGTCCGTTAATTGGGGTACTTTTGCAAATAAAATAAAATAACCATTACAAATAATGCAATGGAGTTTGTACTGTTGTAGCACCTGATTTTTTTCCCACCTAAAATGACTCGCCCTGAATGCAAGTTGATTATTAAAAATTAGTGTGTGCTTATATTACAAATGATGTTTTGCAGATGAAGACTGCAGTTGAAGAACAGGGAATGTCACAAATCACAAGCCTGGAGATAGACAAATTTTAATGTCCGAAGACTAATATCTCTGAATCTAGAGTATTGTCTAATAGATTTTTAGGCTTTGAAAATACTATTGATATGTTTTTGAAATGTTCCTTTTGATTTCAATCAAAATTCTTTACAGAAGTTTTTGAATTACTTCTATTCTATACTTTTAGCTCGAGCCCCAATTTCACAGAGTCTCTATTCTTTTTCTTTCTTAGGTTACGTAGTCATTCTTCTACGTAGTTCTTCTTTTTCTTCAGGTTAAGTGGACATTTCTTAATTTTCCCCTGCAGAGTAGAATTTCAGATTTGAATTTGACTTGGGATATTCCATTTTTTCCCCCATATATTTCACTACCAATTGAAAGACATGCTTAAATGCCACTAGATGTTCATTAATTCAAATGCTTTTCAAATGTTTTCTTGCTGCAAATGTTTGATTGTAAAAAAGTATGTAATTCAAATATTTTGTAGATTTACCATCAGTCATTTGATTTGTATTGACATTTATATTGATAGTTGTTGATTAATGCTTTATTCTTTTACAGGTTTTGGATGGTCGTTCCTGTTGGGCAACTCTCATTCTTGCATATCGTACTCTCATTGAAAATGATGATGATCGGCTCTTTATTGTTTACAATGGAGGCCTGCAGATGGCATTTGAGGTTATTGAATCTTGTTTTTCCTCCATTTTATGTTGCAATTTGGCCCAGTATCATTTACTTTTGTTTTTATAATACCAAAATTGGTAGATTTTATGAAATGAAATTATACATTTATCTGCTCTATTCTCATTATTCTTAATACAGGATGTTGAATTTCTATGAGTGAATGTGAATTTTAGCAACATTTACTTTCCTTGCAACCTTTATATTTAAACTTGAAATAAGTTTAAGTTAACTAATTAAAAATTTACACAGGAGAATGCTAATTTAATTTTTGCTTGTCCGTACTGTTGAAATTTTTCTTTAAATATTTTATTTTCCTCTCAAAATATTTTTTCTTTAACTTAAGACCTTTAAGAGCCCATGCAATCTTAGGATGTATCAACTCACAGCTTCACTGAATTTGAACTAATGTCTCTTCTTTTACATGTTTTGACAGGCCTTTCAAACATTGCACGTGATGTACCATGAAGCCACAGCTTGCCATGTGTCTGGGGATCTCCTGGAATTGTTGTCATTGTTATTAGACATTTTGAAGTGTCTTCGTTTGTTTCGAGATGCAAAGGATGTGCGTAGCATTAAGGAGTGGGTTGAAGTGCTCCGGAAACTTGCTACCTTACTTAACACATACAATTCTCCTGATATGCGGATCCTTTGCATTGGTAGGTTTTTTATATCACTGATATATAATATTTTAGTATTCCATTCAATTACTTCATCGTTTTAGTTCTTTAAAAACAGGGTTAGTCCACCCCTGAACAAATTTATTAATTGAATTGGCATGGAGTTTAAATGATAGTTTATAATTAATTTTGAAAGTAATGATGAAGTAAATAAAAATTTGCTTGACTTTTAATCCAGTGTCTTTTGTAGGATATATTTTTAATGTTCTCCAAGATTCCATTAAAATCTAAGTTCTTATTAGACTTACAATGATTTTTGCATCTTAAAAAAAAAATATAACTTATCTTTAAAAAAATTAGAAATGTAACAGACTAATAAGATCCTTTATTGGGATTTCTTGCAAGAAATATATCTTAAATGCCTAGCCAGAAGTACCAGCCAGTAGACAAAATAAAGTGCATTGCTTAATTTATAAGACAATTAATTTGTAAAATCTTTCCATTAACCTACTCTTTATGACAATGAAATCTCAGAGCTGCAATGTAAATTAACAGATGCGCCTTCACATCTGATCTTTGATGATCGTACTGCTGCATGTGCAAATCAACGATGAACTATATTCTGCATCATGCATTGTAACTATTTATATTCAAAATTGTTAATTTATTTCAGTGTTTAACTTTTTATTTTAAGTTTGTTTCAATAAATAAATATCTGGAAAATTCTTTAACAATGCAGGTGTTGGAAGTAAAGCCACGTCCCCACCACTATACCTTTAACATGAAGATGTTAAATGTAAATTTATACATGTTTAGTCTTGAAACATGTTAAATATAGTATGTGTTGAATGTTATTCCACAATCATTGCATTCGCACTAATTAGCTGTTGACAAAGTTTTAGTGGATTAGGAATAAATAATCAGATGAACTTAATAATTGTATTATGTGAACTTTGTTATTTTTATATTTTTGGTAATTCTTGGCTGTATTGCAATTGTGTGAATACTCTTTGACTGCATCCCAGAAGCAGTTGAACTTAACTACTATATCTCGGAACATGTTTTTTTGCCTATTGTCTCAGAACCCTTTTTTTGCCTATGTATACACTAATTTCACATAATATCGCATAAATTGAAATGGACTGTTTTACCTCTGGAGGATTAGTGTTTCTTCCTTTGAGCATTTGATTTTACTTAAATTGAGAACACCGAAAATTATAATTGCAAGTTCAGTTCTTGCCTTGATTTCCTTGGTTAATCAAGATTTTGCTTAAACTCTAACCATCAACATCCAAGTGCATGATTGACTTGAAATGTTTTTATTAGTGTGCTGGAAAATATCAAACATGTTACAAATGATAAGTTTACCACTACAAAGTTAATATAATTATCAGTCACATTGGTCTTTAACCCTGTTAACATGCAACCATACAGGTTTGTTGAGTGCAACTGTATATTAAGAAATTATCATCTTTAGCTACCTAAGTAAACAACAATCAATTCATCGCAAGTCAACTGTTTATTAAGGAAAAAATAGCGACATTCAAAACAAATCAGATTGAAACAAATTAGAATAAAAATAACCCTTAGTTTTGGGGATAATTATTGTTAATTGTGAAATATTAGTGTTATTATCACTCACAGTGTGGTTTCAGGAAGCCAACTAGCATCAACAGGTCAACCATGGATCACTTAGTATCCTTAGTAGCCACACAGATCTCCACTTCTTTCGTGCTACAACAACACCTGGTAGCAATTTTTATGGATATAGAGAAAGCGTATGACGCCACCTGGAGGTACGGCATTCTTGGGGCCTTAGGGGACGTCTCCCTTCATTTCTAGTAGATTTTCTTTCATTAAGATGTTGCCGCATCTGCCTTGGTAATATGTTATCCTCAAGTTACCAGTTAGAAAATCCAGGGATGAATTCTGAGTGTCACTATTTGTGAAATTGCTGTCAATAGAATCGCATCTGTAATTCAAGAGCCTGCGAAAGCTTCGCTGTTCGTTGGTGCCTTTCAATATTCTGCTCCTCAAATAGCATGCAAGTTATTGGGGGCACTTACAGCTTGCTGTCAACAAACTACAAGAATGGAGCGATAAAACTGGATTCAAGTTCTCGATGTCAGTATTCAGTTGCATGCACTTCTGTAGAAATAACACCTCCATAATAATCCGGATATTTTTTGGAGGAGGGGGGAGGACATCAACTTCTCTTCGGCGATTCTGCCACTTACCTTGTCGTGACATTATGTTAACATGGTGAAAGTATATTCAAGACTTGAAGAGCCGATGTGTATCATTGAACCTTCTTCACTCCCTTACTGGTAGATTAAGGGGGTGCAGACCAAGTATGACTTTTGCGCCTATATAGGACCATCATGGGCCCTATCTTAAATTATGGGTGTATTGTTTATGGATCAGTGTCTCCATCGACCCTCCAGTCATTGAATACCATACACAAAGCCAGCATACAGATCAGCGCCTGCCTCAGGTGCCTACCTTACAAGTCGCATTGAATGCTTCTTGGCCAATTAATAACTATATAAAATAAAATAATTA